GAAAATTCATAAATAAAATAAAGTTAAAATTAATTTAGTTTGTTTATTAATAAATAAAAATAAAATCTATTGGTTCCGTTGGTTCCAGTGTTCTATTGCTGTTTACAGTGGTTCCAGTTTTTCCAGTTTTTCCAGTGGTTCCAGTGGTTCCAGTGGTTCCAGTGTTCCATTGGTGTTCCAGAAAAAAGTCACTGGAACACTGGAACCAGAACTGAAAATTTTGTTCCAGTGTTCCGGTTCCAGCAATTTTCCCAACACTGCCTTCAGGAGTATTTAATAACTGAAAAATATTATGATCAATTGCTTGATGCACACAAGGTTCATCAGAAATTCGAAAGTCCAAAAAATGTGGTTGTTTGAATTGTTGCTGTGTTGGTTGATAGTTATAATCTGTTACATCTTCAATGAAACCATTCCATTCAAATGTCTCCTGAGGGGATTGTTGATAACTTGAAATAGTTGTCCCAGTACTTTTTCTTAGTGAAAAATAAGTAAGTGGGGGTAATTTCAAAGATAATATCTCCAACATTCATATATTGAGATACTTTTAAGTAATGTAAAGAAATGACAAAAATTCATAAATAAAGTAAATAACAAGATTAAGATAACTGCAAATTCATCATATATAACAGCAAGGATGAGAACAAAGATTGTGACTCACCAGTGGTAACAGGTTGAACTATGATAACACAAATATGTTTTTTGGGAGGGTTTGACAATAAGAAGCAAGAAAGATAAGCACAAGATATTATTGGCAAAAGTGACATGGTGTGGGTGAGAAATTAGAATTTATATAAATGGTTAAATATGTATAAGCACATACCTGATTAAAAGACAAAAAAAAATTATAGTTGTTGTGGTATGAAACAAGTATTTGTCATTAATGACAAGATTGTATATTTAATTAAAAAAGAAAGGTAAATATATCAGATGCTCTCTCAAATAAACAAAATGAAAAATATATTTTTACACAATTTGTTTGTTACCTTTCTCTTCTTTAAATTTCATTAATTCTTTTTGCAGAAATATCACCTGTTCCTCCAATATTTCCTTTGTCTCCAAATCATTTTCCTGTAAGTTAGAAGTTGGATTAATACAGTCAGGATTATTACCAAATATGGAATTTCCAAAATACTGTAAGGATAGACGATCTAGAAATCTTTTTTTTAAAAAAAAAAAAAAAATGTTTGGCTAATTTTATGCAGATCTTTTCTTTGAAAAAAAATTATTAAATGGTCATATAACCTCCAAAATTTATGTATTACATTTATTTTTAACTGCTTTACAAATCTATCAAAAAGTAATCAATAGCTTCAAATTATAATCATAAAATTACCATAAAAACACAATAACTTTTTTTATAATACTGATGATCAATCTGTCATTCATTCTCATTCATCAGGAATCTTGTTATTAAAATTAATAAAATTAATAAATAGTATCATGAAATATATT